GTCTAGCACCGTCGGGGAGGCTCCATCTATTGGTGGGGAGCAGCACCTGCTGGAAACCAGGTCCAACGTCCCTTTGATACATCATGCAACACAGAGAATACTGATTGTTGTTCCTCAGGGCTGCGGCCAATTCTAACTCAGCTCGGGGCTCCACATCCCTTAGAGCTGCTACTAACCCCCATCTCTTCTTAGGAGCACCCCTTAACTAATGACCAGCCCTGTCTCAGCAGCCCCCCGCTATTTGGAGATATGTGTGTTTATCCATTTGACACTTTGAACCAATGATCCTGTCGAACCAACAGAAGACCCATCCGTGATCCTTGAGCGAGTAATGGAAGGCCGTAGCCCAATCTCAGCTCTGCCCCTTGTTTGAGTATAGCTGTGCGTGCCCGTTTCAAACCCTATAAACCCTGTACCCTCTCAAAACCCAGAGCATGATCCATTCGCCCTATACCCTCTCAGGCCCAGAATGTGACCTATTCGTGGTTCGAATCGAAGGGAGCAGCCCTAAAAGGTGATTTCTTCACCCTGCAGAAGGACCACCAGATAAGTCACCCTTCGGCCATTGTCGTTCGTTGTTCCATCTTTCCTGTTTTGCGCAGAAGCAACTTGCTGTTTCCCTGTCCCTTGTGGCTCCTCAGGATACTATGTACTACTCCCAGCCCCTGTACCAGAGGGCACATTGTCGCCTTGTGTGAGACGTACGCCTTCTGCATCCCTCCAAGATACTAAGAAGTGTGGATTTCGTGTGGTTTCCTCTGAGCAAACTGAACCGATGCACCCCAGAGTGGTTATAGATGAGGATCAAAAGAGTGTACTGCGGCCCTGTCTTCAGTTGTCCCTTTCCCACTGTGTTCCGCAATAGCAGCTTTCTCTTCCCTTGTACCTTGTAGCACGTCAGGCTGCAATGTAGTTCTCTTGGCCCCTGTACCCGGAGACACATTGTTGCCTTATCTGAGGTGTACGTCTTCCGAATCCCTCTGAGATATCGCTTAGAGTTCAGCGGAGAGGTGAATGGGTGGGGGGCTGTTGTAGATGGGGGCGTCGATCTGGGTCGGAGGTGGAGGCTGTGGAGTTATGGGGGGGGACGTCTGGGGGAGAGGGGGGGGCGGGGAGGGGATAGATGGGGGGGGCCGGCATGGCAGAGGAGGGGACTGTGAACAGGGAGAGTGGATGGAGCAGAGCTCAACCTCTGCGGTCCTAGCCTGCTCACCCGAAGTTGGGCATACTTCTATTGTCGTGTTGTTGTGGTGGTCTGGTAGTGGCATCGAGAAGGACGCGGCCGGTCTGTATGTCCATGAGTGGTCTTGTGTCGCCCAGTTTTTCCATGTCAGCCTTCCGTCAAGCTGCACTTCCGCCATTTTGTGATTGGGATCGATCCATTTTGCTGCGAAGGCCCCTACGAATTGTTGTCTATTGTCATGATCGGGGGTTTCATCCACCTTTTCTTTTAAGGTTTTGCAAGCAGAGATTCTTGAGGTGATAAGGTCAAACACTTGTGCATTCTTCAGCAAAATCCCAACAACATTGCCCCCGCCAACGAACTCAATCTTCAAGCTTAAAAGAAATGGGAATCACCATCTCCTCCGGTTTCGCCTTCGTGGCTGGTCGTGCGGTTTGACCAATTGTAAGCGCTCCTCGGCTTCAGTGCGGGTTCGCCGAGCGAATGCCGAGGCTTGATAGGCCTGGTGCCGCCGACACTTTTCGCATGGGATGCGGGGCCAATAGCGGGCTATGGAATTCCATGGCACCACCGTGAGTTGGTGATATGGAAGGAGGAGGTGGAAGGGAGGGAAACTGGTGGTAATAACGACGAAACCGGGGGATATGAAATACTTCGTGTTATAAGTATCGGGGCCCCTAGGATCGTTAGTTATGGCACACTGAAAGTCCCTCACACACAATCGATCGCTTTCTGTCAGACAGGGGAATTCCGGATTTCTTAAGTTCCCCCGCCGTCTGAGTTGTTCACCTTCCCAGTATTCGCGGTATTCTGGGTCCCTCAAACTCTCACGATCGGACATCCAAAAGGGAAATTCCTTAGCCATATCCGTTTAGAAAGCTCGGTCCTTGCATCCTCGCGTGGAGTTCCTGGCTGGCTCACGCAGGCGACCATGTACGTAACGACTCGATTTCCTCGACGTCGCGGTCCTACTCAATCGTGTACGTGAGAAACATCGGGTTGGTTCAACTCGTCAATCGCATTCAACATGCATGCAAATATCCTATCCCTGTGGCATCGGGTGAGATTCGATCATTACATAATGCTATCATACATGTGAGAAAAAAGGAGCTACGCCCAACGTGGCAACATTCGTAGCCATGTCAATTCCTTATAGCACTCTTTGAAAGTTAACGACTAAACCAAAACATCCATAATCGAGCGCTTTTAGCAATAGATAGAGTCAAAACGGACATCGAAAAACAAGATTCAAAATCCGAAAAGATTGCTAATAAAGGGAAATTCACATTCATTACATGCATACACACAAAATAAAAACGACAAGGAAAATCGGCGATGATTTACAAAAGAAGTCCAAAAAAAAGGCCGCAATAAAATCGACCATATCCGGATCCAAAATTATACAGATGACAGAGGAAAAGAAAGGAACAACGAAAAGAACTTTATCCCACACCCACACAACGACTCTCTCTCTCTTTCCGCGCTCCCGGTGCGGGCAGTCCGTCGCCTCCCATCAACACAGAGTTGTCACTCCGCTTGGTTCGAGCATGCAAGCCAGGTTCGCTCGTGCGCCACAGTCCGTCGTGGCCCCGCACGTCAACCCTGGATACCCGACACCAGCTCGTCGGATCGCCCAACTCTCGCACTCACTCACCTCTCAAACTTGCTCGTTAGTCGACCCTCATTGATCGCGTTAACCTCGAGATTCTTAGAGAGCCAACTAATCGCGCTTGCGAAATTTATAGCATGCATGCCTGCGCGAAAGGTACGGGATTAAGCCCAGGTAGACAATACGAGAAGAGAGGAAGTACCTATGTCTGCATGGCCTAGCCGTGGTGGGGGTCGTAGCCACACTCCACGCACCGATCCGGTCATGCAGGCGCTCCAACCAATTATAACAGGGTACGTGAGGCGAGGAAGAAGGAGAAGACGGGCAAATGCGAGAAAACAAAGAAGGAAGAAAGATACAGTTACAATCACGCCCACCAAAAACGACAGTTACATGTAAAAAGAAGTCAGAACCCGGATCTTGTCGTGGCAAGGCGTGCATAAGCAAGGAGCGCCGCACAACAAAATTCAGAAGGTGCCTAAATTTCGAGCTTAAGTCCTAATTGCAAAGGAAAATTCCGAATAGAAAAACAATTCCGAGAGTCTGTGGGGGATCGACATCAGTTGAAAATTCAAAACGATATTCTCGCGCGATGATCACGCCAAAATTCCCAGTGCTCACAACAGAACAAGAAAGAAGCTATGGTACAGTTATTTCTGCACGCGCTAAGGCGCGGCTATCCAACCGTTGGTACGGGATGTTCCTGACACCGATCCGACATTCCCAACAGAAATCGGAAAAGAAACGAGGACATCCATGCAATTTGCTCGCCCGACCCATCTTCCCACAATTCACCCACTCAACCTGCCGTATTTCCTCAAGCAGCTCCGCACAGAAAATCGCGCGATTACAGAAAATAGTTCGTCACATATGTGACGCCTAGGGGGTTCCAATCTTGTGCAAGCTCCCACTTGCACCCATATCTCTTCAAGGTGCACGTGTCATTACTGTAGGATAAGAGTGTGGAAGTCATCCTGCTGACACGTCCTGATCCTTGCACCCGTTTTAGTGTCCCGAGGGTAAGGGAGTCGGAATACGGGGGCGGGGGGTGGAGGATGTTATCTCGGGAGTGTGGGTAAGAAACTTACCATTCCTGCTACCGTCCCGGGAAGTTCAAGGTATCCGACGGTGCGGTGTATGCACGGGAAACAATGGCTGCCATAGGGAAGAGAAGCAAGGTAGCCGGGATAGAGAGTTAAAAAGGTACGAAGTATGGCTGCGCGGAATTGCTCGTGAGCTGCGCACACAAGAATAGTTCCTGTGATAGTGCAGTAGACTTCGATCACATTGTGATCCCGCTATGCGGCGCTGAAAAGAAGGATGTGAAGACAAAAGGAAGGAAAGACGCACTCAGTAGTGGGATTCAGGTACACTGTGGCGGCGAGGCGGGTAGTGAAGAACTGGTAGAAGAGGGAGGAGGGGAAGGGATTTTGGGGAAATACGAGTTGGGTATCGATTTGCCAGAGTATAAGGTAATCAAGGGGACGACGGGATAATGACCGGGGACATAGCCCGATGCCCCACATCGACACGTGCTCGAACTGAGGGACGGGGGGAAGGGGAGGGGGAGCGGCTCCGTTGCCTCCGTGTCGGCACGCTCGAAGTCTTTGCGGCACATCGCTCATCTTCCTCTGTCGGCGGTTCCGGATCTCTGGTCGGATCGTCCAGAATCGGCAAGTGAGTCCCCGCCGATTGCTCGAGCGTCCGCTTCCTTCCGCTATTTATGCCCTGCGCCGCCCGGCTTCAGCAGGGTCCTCTCCATGTGTCCCCGCCTGTTCCACCTCTTCCTCCTCGCTTGCTTCCTCCTCCTCTTCCTCTTCGCTTATCGCCCCTGACTCATGTTCACTATGCTCGTTGTAATACTCGTCCTCTTCGGAGGTATCTGTCGATCCGGCCCCCTCTTCCTCTTCTTCTTCTTCTTCTTCCTCTTCTTTTGACGCCGGTTCCCCTCGATCCAAGAAGAGAAGATCGATTATCTCTGCAAGGTTTAGGTAGTTACCGTGTGACAGGTAACTACGGTTGCTCCAATCGCCCTCCAAGCACGCCGACAATTGAAGATACGGCGTCAGGCTGCGCGAGAGAATATGCGGTGTCGGGCTCTCGTCGCAGTGCGAGATGACGTCGATTGGTAGATCGTCCAGTAGCTGCATCAGGAGGATTAGGAGCTCCCCCACGATCGGTTGTCGATGTCCCGCTTCCACCGATTCAGAGACGAATCCCAACAAGTCTCCTTCCACCCCCGTTCTCCAAGCCTGAATAATAAGCAATTCTACGTCTTCGTTCGCAACGGGGTGCTCGCTGTCCCTGGTCCACTTCAGTCTGATCTCGACTAGACACAGAGACAAAGTCACATAAGTTTGCCACCACCCTTGCCATTGTTCGGGCTTAATGAGAGGGACTGTCAGCAGCTGTACATGGAAAGAGAGACGAGGATGGAGCGCTGACTGCCAGGAGACAGGGAAGACAGAGGGGAGGCTGAAGGTGGAGAACGTGTGACGGTTCATTGAGGACGCGAGAAGGCGGTGAGTGCGGGGAGAGGTACCACGGGATTCTACCGGAGAGCGCGGATGCCGTCCAGGTCAATACTATTAGTATTTTACGATGTTATCCCCTCGCCGTGCAAGCAGCTGACTCCAGGAACTCGCCAACTCTTCCCCCCAATCTCGCAGCGAGACGAGGATGCTCGAATGTGCCCTCGGATCCACCGTAGTGATATCTCCGCTGAAGGAGACAATTGTCGAGACGTGGCTGGTCCCAGGCCCCGAGAGCTGCAAAAAGGCTGATGCTTCAGCCAACACTTACGCCTTGCTGTTGGGTATTACAAATCGGAACTCTGCTGCTGCATGCACGCTTGCCGTGCTGAAAAACTGAGCAAATCGGATGATGTCCGAGCTGATACACGGATGATGAACCTGTCTGATCACCGAAATGTGTCCGCGTGGCGCTAGCATCCGCTCATTGAGTACATGTTCCATGGAAAAACTCATGGCGAAGAGGAGGGAGAAGATGAGTGGGGAGGAGATGAATGGGGAGAAGAATGAGAATGGGGAACATCGCTTTCCCACTCGGATTCCGATTCCGAGGGCGACCCAGTTGGAGAGGGAGGGGAGGAAACAGTGAGATGGCGGAAATAGGACACGTGGCGAATTATGGGCCTAGTTGAGCAATTGCCTGCCACTTCAGGAGCGAGGGGCACGGTGTCCACTTCGTTAGGTCCGAGCTCGATCACTTGAAAGCACCCGAAGAATCGTGGCGCTAGTTTCCCTCGACGAGCACATTTCCTTACCTGCACCAAGTCCCCCTATTTATACTGGGGCCGAGGACCGGCATTTCCATTTCGGGCCTGGTAACTATGGACGTGACGGTCGTGGGCCAATTCGGTCATTCTCTGCCTTTTTCGGGCCAATCTGGGAAGGGTCCGCTCCATAAGCTCCATATGGCGCTTTACTTTTTCCTTGGCCGTTGCTCTTGTGGGACGTCGGCCGAGTGTCGTTTCATCATTGAGGCTCGGTATCGAGACGCAAGCTAAGCTATTGGTTCGAAATTGAAACGGCGAAAGTCCCGTAGATTCATATGGGGTCCCTCGATGTACAACCAAGATATGATCCACAATATCAGGCCACGGTCTCATGTCCCTAGCCGCGATATTCCATCGGAGTGCCGTTTTGATGACCCGGTTGGCGTTTTCTACGAGACTCTTTGATTGAGACATATGGGGGCCAGTATTACGAATGGACACTCCATGTATGACTGTATTCCTCATAACTTCCCCTCGGAACACTGCTTCATTGTCTGTAAGTATTTCCTCGGTGTCCTGATGCATCCCGAAGAAACGGTTGACATACCACGCTGTTTCCGCCGTCTGCCTAGTCTGACATGGGTAGGCCTCGATCCATTTTGAAAAGTGGTCAACGAACACCAAGAGGATTGAATATTCACAGCTATTCAGTCCAGGGGGCACGACGATATCCGTTGTATCTATGTTTACCCTCTGAAACGGCCGTTGGACTTCAGTGGGCGCTATCGATCTAGGCGGCCGAATCAGCACCTTGTCAGCGGTGCAGACCTGACAATTTCGGCGATGAATTTAACATCGTCACGAATATTGGACCAATACCATTCATTTTTGTCAATTGCCGCCTTCATAATCCGTACGGTAAAGTGAGCTGCAGTCTCTTCGTGTGCCCACTTAACCCAATCATACCTCACAAATGGATGGGGCACGACCATCCAAATCCCACTACCATCGGTCTTCCGTTTCTCCAACCGTTCGTCGTTCAATCGATAGTCCCGTGCCCTCTCATTAGCCCTTCTACGGTCGTCTTTGGTGAAGTCCCGGAGGGGGTTCCCGACCACGGTGGCTATTAAGACGACATTTGTCCATACTTCGGCCCTCCTAAACCTACGGGTCTTTTCTAAACCCTCCGACATGACTTCCAGGAAGCGGGCTTCAGTAGGAATTTTGTCGGATCGACACAAGGGACACAACCAGGCCTTGTCCATGTTCCAATACTGAATGCAGGAACCATGGGCCCTGGAGACACAATGCCGACAATCTACCCATTCGACGTACCCTTCCCCGCTAGGACCCATAGGGACTGAGTAGACACGTTGTCGGAGGGAGTGGTGTCCCGGCCCTCCTCCGTGTACCAAGTTCCTACTTGGTACCACTCTTAGCTTTAGTACTGCGATCTGAAGCTACCCCCGAAACGCTATGA